TCATACAGAAGATGACAACAGTGAACAACAAGAGCAAGAAACTATCGTAATTAATGTGAATGAAAAACCTTTTGAAGTAAAATATCCAGAAATGATTTATGATGAGGAAAACAAAGACGAAAGACGAAATACGCATGAGGTGGAAGAACATAGTGATGAGAAAGGAAAAAAAATTAATGATAAAAGTTGTCAATGTTCAAGTTGTCAACATGGTGGGTGTTTTGTTTATTTAATGTTATAAATTGCAATCAAATAAAATTAATAGAAAATCTAAAATAGGATTGACGCCAAGTCTTCGTTCTGATTTACGTGGTCTCGAAAAATACTTACACTCTGCAAGATTATTACGTGAAGTTGCTTTATTTGCCGGAACACGTAACGTAACCGACAAAGTTATTGATTATTTTCACTCCACATGGGAAAATCCATTCCATATGGTATACTCCTTTATCTTCATCATCATCAGCTCCGTCATAAGTCTAATAGTAATAATAATAATAATATTATTATTATTATTATTATTTTTATTCTTATTAGGGAAAACCAGTAGTATCGGCAATCTCATTTGCAAAATGTAGTGAAGAATCCGCGCAGAAATTCGACGAATGCTTCTCGGAATTCACAGTAATTGCCGATGATCCGAACGTGAAGCCTCTTTGGCGAGGAACTAGAACACAATGTGAATATGAAGAAAAAGAGAGTCCTTGCGATCCTTCTGCTGTTCTGTGCTGTAGTTCTTGTAAATCGATAAATGATGATGAAATAGGCAAAAACAGGTTAATTAGTCAATCCATTTGTATATAGAAAAACATCACAAAATGTTGGTTCTAACCTTATAATTCCTATCTATAGACAAAACAACGACAAAAGAATCTATTTGTCCACAAATTCATCACATTGCTTCTCTTTCTCGAAATTTGAAAAAGACGAGATCAACTCGAGCCACTCCACCGTCACCATACAACTTTGTTTCGTCGCACTCGGAAAATCTCACACATTCGACTCTGCACTCGACGATTTTAAAGAACTTTCCGATGCGCCGCCGTATCCTTGTCACTCAGTCTATCGTCAGAAAAAGGATTTTGGCGAGTTTATCACGTATCGTTGGGACGCAATTATACCATTTGTGAATATTTCATATAGAATGACTCAATGGTAAAATGTTAATATTATATATGTAATTGTCGATTTATACAATTTATTTGTCACTTCCTTTTATATTCTTATTCTGAAGCTGTGAGCAATAATTATTCCTACATGTATTGGTATGCTAAGCGAACCCGCAATTGAAGTATCGTTTTAGAGCAAAAAATTTTAAATACTGATTCCCGATACGGAAAGTAATGGCGGACCTTTTTTTTGTTGTATGCATCTTCTGAGATGCACTCACAATAAACCAACTGCAAATTTCGTGCTGACCTATGCTATATCCTATTTATTTGCTGCTGGTACGCCTTCTCTATCACCAAAAAAACTCCTGAAAATTTTTTGGCGCAGATGCAAAATGCATTTTGATAAGGTATTTTTAATTGAAACATGGAAAACAGAGTTGAAATAATGATAAAACAAAAGCCGAACATGTCACAGAAGGTTTTTGCGCTGTGGAAGAGGGTGGGAGTACATTTCTGAAGAGGTGGTTCTTAGGTGCATCACCTATATGCCAATTTGCATTCAAACCTGCATTGATGCAGAGGGAGGCATATTGAATCCTGATACTTTAGGGGTATAAAACCCGTGCGGGCTGTATATCCATAATATCTATGTGTGGTGCCATGCCATCTGTATTTTAAATTAAAATCAACAATCACATTAATATGTCACTTCTTTTTGAATATGCTAACTTATCAAAATCTCTATCAAATTTAATTTCAATAAATTCAATCAAGCAATTCTTATAAAGAAGGGTCATGTATATTTTTTTGTATATTAAAGCAAATGAATAATTCTTAACCCTTTTGAAAATGTCACGCAATCTATTTCTATTTTTCATGATGATACTTATTCAGTTAAATACATGTACATTGGTTTCTACCAATAAAGCTGAACATCGCACAACTCAATTGCTATCCAAACACAATGCCAAAAATAAAATGACTGTAATCGATCCCAAAATTTTTCTCGATATTGAAGAAAATCAATTACCGTTATCATCTTCCGATCCAGACTTTGAAGAAGACAATTCACCATTTGATAACATGCCGATGTCGCCAGCCCTTCTTAAGAATATGTTTACGCAGATTCTCACAAGAACATCACGAGGAAAAAGGGGGTTAAATAAACTTTTAAAAATTCTTAATAATCTTCACCACTAGATTTATCACCTGCAGATAAGGTTTTTTTGTTATGGGTTATATTTAATATTTGTCAGAAATTATGTTAACGTTAATGTTATTTCAATATATTGTATTTCTGAATAAATATCAAATAAATCGCAGGTAATTGTTTTCAATAAAAATATTTATTTATTACTTCATTTTATGATTAAGATCTAAATGACATATTGATATTGTAAAATTTTATCTAAAATTAACAAGTTAGTATAAAATAAATATTTCTATGTTCCTTAAATTATACTTGAATTAACAGGATAGATTCGAGATTTAAATATTATTGAAAGAAATTATGATGATTCAATTAAAATAGAAATTGAAAACGTAATTATCAAGGTTGCGAGTTTAATATATTAGAAGACTATTATTAAAGTTTATCTCCCGAAAATTTTGGCTCTTTTCTTCATTTAAACCAACTTTTTTATATTATTTTCTTTAAAATATGAACTCAGATTAATATCGATATTAACTAATAAAACAAAGAAAATACATGTACATGTATATCAAATGAACAACAGATCATACGTAGCTGGAAAAGGTGACTTGATGCTACACACCAATTTTAGTCGAAATCGAACCTATTACTGATTTTTCTTTGGAAATACAGTGGCTCACACAAATAACGGAACACGAAAATCAACTTTCTAGCATTTTTATTTCCATGACTATTAGTTTGGACAAAACAAAAAAATGTTCATTTGAAACCCTGAAACCTCTAATATTTTTTTACAAATAATTTGACAACAGATTATTTTGTGAAATAGAGTGATTTAAATCAAAATTTACAACCAGTAAATTTCTCACATTGAAGAACTTTTTTTCTATGACGGATCCAAATTTGAACCACTAATTAAAAATGTACTACTC